CCATTAATTAAACGTCTTGTCGATATATCCTCGAGTCCCTTAGGATGTATTGATGTATTTATGTACTGATTTGCATACATATAACGAAAAGGAGAGAAAGATGAAGGAGGAGAACCAGAAAGGGTTAGATAGCAAGGAAGAGAAAGGTAAAGCAGAGGAAGAAATTGATAAATAGCAAGGGAGAGAAGCATAAGAGAGGAGGAAAGGAACAGACAGCGAAGGAGAAAAAGATAAAGAAGAGGAAGAAATAGATAAGTAGCAAGGGAGAGAAGGATAAAAGAGAGGAGGAAAGGAACAGACAGCGAGGGAGAGAAAGGTAAAGCTGGAGAGCCAAAAAGGGACAGATAGAGCGAGATAGAGCGAGCGCACGGGAAGCGGTTGGTCTCCCAGGATGGCTAAAGGCCAAGGCTCTTGAGACGAGGAGGGAAATTCCCCCGAAAGGATGGGTCGGGGGCCTCCTTCGCGCAAAAGGGCCAGGGACGGCGTAAGGGGCGTCCCTGGAAGGAAAGAGCGAAGTCGTTGTCAGAGATTGTGGAGGAGAGATAAGGTGCAGAATAATCAGATAACGTACATGTACACACCGTACATTGTACACTTTTTTTCTGTTGACCCTGTATATAAACAGAAGGGTAGAAAGAGAACGGAGGGGGGGAGGGGGGGTTAAACAGAGAAAATTATAAAGAACAAGAACACCGCCATGGAGACCCTAACGTCCCTGTTATATAACTTTGGAGAAAGACTATTTTCCGGGTCATTCACCCCCAAAAAGCTTTAGTTGTGTACGGAAGTTATTCAACCACAATTTGATCAACAGCTGAATTTATCATGAATCTTAGGTGAACCGAAACACGTGGCTAGTATCTCCCCTGACCTACCAGAACATTGTTGGCACATGTAGCCTTGGAGGTCATTAGAGAGAGCAGAAAAAAAAAGAAAATGTCGGGTGATTGAACAAGGGAGTGTGTTGTCTTTTCAGGTCTGGCTTGTACTGAAGGAAGGAGGAACGTGTGTTTTGAAATGCAGTTGATTTAAATAGAACCTTCAGAATTCAGGCGCCTTTGCAAGGTGAACTGTGTGGTCTTTTTTTCTTTTTTTTTACATTTACTTTTTATCTTTGTGTAAAAAAAATGGTTTTCAGACTTTCATTTAAGTCCGTGTATTTTTGGAATCGGTTTATCAAGAAACAGTAAAAGCAATCACCTCTCTTGTCTCTGATCGTGATTAGGCCTTACTGTTTAGAATTACCTGTGGAATCAGCCGATCAGACGGGCCTTGTGTGATCACAGGAAACACAGGGGTTGGAAGCACCGCGGGTTTGGCTGTAACGCTGACGATGGATAAAAATGTTAAACTGTGGAATGTGGGGTTTGCTTGTTTCCTGCCCTTCATTGCTCCCACATTCTCTCTGTCACTCTCTCTCTCTCTCTCTCTCTCTCTCTCTCTCTCTCTCTCTCTCTCCCTATCCCTCTTCCTCTCGGGGGAATTATTTCTCGGTTGCCACAAGATTAACAAAGACGTGGCGACCCAGAAACATTTTGGCAGGGCGCATGTTGTGTTATTTAAGGTCTTGTTTCCTTCATTGTGAAAATCACTATCCCTAAAGGGTGTCGCAACACCTGATGCTTCTTGTGGGATCACATCGCCTACATGTCTCAAATCCTCTGTTTATCATGATAAGATGGGAGAGTTATAGATATGTCTCTCAAGAGGCCTTATTAACCTGATGGTGGGGGGGGGGGGGCATTGTAGCTTACGTAACTTTGTTTGGATGAATCTCCAGATATTATGTTGCACTAGTTTTGCGCGAATTTGTCTCACCTGTCAGCAGGTGATTTTTTTAGCAAAAGAGAGAAAAGAGGGACAAAAAAGACAGACAGAGACCGAGAAAAACCCGGAGAAACTCTCGGATGCTGAGTCACCTTGCCAAGTGTGCCACGGCATCTGTGGGTGTGGGCCTCAGCTGCCGTGTGCATGGACTCTGCATGGCCAAGCTCAAAAACAACGTGCATATCGCTCATTCGTTTTTAAGACGCAAGAACACGATAAAAGTTCTGTTGGCGCAGCGATACAACGACGTGTTTATCTGATAAGAGTAAGTGTGTGTGGAGTGCGTATGGTTTGCTCTGGTGCGGCCCAAATGGCGCTGTTATCTCGACGAACGGACAAGCGTTCCTGGTGAAGGGATTTGTTTATTTGATTGCATACCTGCTGGGAAAGGGAGAGCACGCGCTGCCGCCGCTGCCTAAATATTTACTCTCTACTTGCTCAGCGTGGACATTGAGGCTGTCTTGGCTGAACAAGAATCTGGTGTGATGTTTTTCTTATATAGTTGGGTGATGAAGGAATGATCATTTCAGTGCTAGTGAGGCTTAAGCATATGATTGCATCCTTTGCATATGTTAACTCGTGGCGTTGCACTTGTGCTGCGCTCGTGTCTGAGCAGTCCATCACAGCGGAACTCTGAATTCGCTCGAAATTTAATATCTTGATTAGTTTGTAATTTATGTAAAAAATGGCGCCCGTGAAAGTTATTTAATTACTGTGCTAATGTTGTTGTTGTTTTTCTTTCACAGGTAAGTCGCAGAACCTGCCCTGACTGAATGACGAAATGCGTAACAACCACGTGACTTAATGGGTGATGTGATAAAGGCTACTGTTAATTTCCTCAATGCATTGCATTTATTTTTAGCTATTATTCTACAATATATGTCTTTTCCTTCAACTCCCCATGAATATTTCAGTAAACAATTTGTCCGGTGTCTTGCCCTTGTCCATTCGAAGACCCATTGCTTTCGCAGCATTTGTCAGGAACGGAGGACGCGGCGGTTATTGCGCCCCCCCCCCTTCTTCCCTCTCTCCATTCTAGTCCATCCTCTTCCTCCTTCCTTCCCGCGCTCCGTCTCCACGTCCTCTTCCCCTTTCTCCGAAGATATTTATGTGCCACTGATGCAGCCGCCCTTTGAGCAGTATTTACAACGCGAATTTGTTTCAGTCTTGTTATCTGACGGGAATCCACGTGAAGAGTCACAACATGATATTTATCCTCGCCGACGGCATTAAAAGAACTGCACGGCGAACAGACCTAAACACGAGGAGATGGAGGAGGTGCAGTCTCGCAGAACCAGACACACAAGAAAGCGAAAGATCGAAAGAAAAGCGACAGTTTGTTTCCGATGAAGGCAGCATGGTTACTTTGTGAAGTCCAGGCAGAGCGTGTATCGCACCTGCACTGAATCATCTAAAACAATTCAGTAAAGCGTTACAAGGCATTATTTTTTTTGAGGGAGGGAGCAAAATTTCCGTGAGTGATTGCGCGCAGAACTTTCCAAGGTTCGCTGATGCAACGAGAGAAGAGTTTGGCAATCTGTTCAGGAACAAGATATGTGGATACTTATCAGGATTTTTTTGAGCCCGAATCCAACACGACCTCATATTGCAGACAAATCTCTCTCGTAATCCACATATCATAAGAAGAAAATTCCTCATTAAAAGAGATTAAACGATTACCACAGCCAGCCCCCCGAGGACGTTTGACTCCATACCCGATTGGCGTTTATGAGATTTGAAGACCGGACTGGAATCTCGGGAAGCGGATGGACTCTCGGGTCAGCGGATCTCGGCGCGGAATCGAGGCTTATCACTGGAGTGGCTTCGGGTCAAACTAGAGATAACTGTGAAGCTGATATGAAGCTTATTTGTCCACCTGCTAAAGTAAAGCCAAGGGAAAGGGGGAGGGGGGCAACATGGGATATGTGCGATGTATCCTTGATTTTGTTGACATGAATTACGCACCGGTACCGCGGGAAGCAGTGCATGTTGGTCAAAACGCAAACTGTATTAAAAATAAAAAGGAATAGATATGGAGGGGCAACGTTCGCATACCTGGAACCGGAGTATGTAAATGAGTGTGAGTATGGATATATGCCAGCCAGACAGATAAGACAAAGAGACACACAGACAGATAAACACACACACACACACACACACACACACACACACACACGTACAGTCGAAGAAACGGAAAGAGAGGAAGGGAGAGAAAATGTATTTATTTGTCTATGCCTGTCTGTGGCAACGCCACTTTGCCAAGAGCGCCAAATCCATAACAGACCGACACTGATTGTCTCCTGGTGCCAAGTAGGTGACAGCCTTGTGTCTTGCAAAGATGCTACCTTTCACGCCCACTTTTCTAGGCCTTCGCTCGGGTGCTCTCGCTCCATATATGTAACTAACTCGCTCGCTCTTCTCTCTCGCTCTCGCTCTCTCCCTCTCTCTCTCCCTCTCCCTCTCCCTCTCCCTCTCTCCCTCTCCCTCTCTATCTCTCTCTATCTCTCTCTCTCTCTCTCTCTCTCTTTCTATCTCCCTCTCTTTCTCTCTCTTTCTTTCTCTCTCTCTCTCTCTCTCTCTCTCTCTCTCTCTCTCTCTCTCTCTCTCTCTCTCTCTCTCTCTCTCTTTCCCTTTTTTCGCTGCTTTTTTCTCTCCTTCTCCTCTCTCTCCCTCCCCACCTCCCTCCCTTTCTCCCTTCCTCCTCTTTTTTTATCCCTAACGGCCACGATCCTCCCTGCCCCCCCCTTTCCCTCGCCCTCCTCTGCTCTCCGCTTCTCCCTCTTCTGACCAGTAACTCCTCTCGTATACATGCTTGACATCGCTTCCCCCTTGTGTCATACTTGCCATCGTGAAATTATAATTAGACGAGTAAGTGCAGTCTTTGGCATCGGTTTCATGTGCGAGTCTGTTACCTAACCGATCATTTTAACAATATCTGTTTTATGGTTAGGTATTCAGAGGTACATAATATAGGCTTATGTGTTTCTATTCTCCTTTTTTGTTAATGTTCCTTTCGCCTCGAACTGAAGTGTGAAGAGATCCCTTGCAAGTGCTGTAATGATTCACTTCTGTTTTTTCTCTCTCTCCTGATCTTTGTTTGCAAACAACACACGTGTTGGCAGAGCATTTAGTTGGCTCGGTCATAACCCGAGGGGGAGGAGCAGTTTTGCCTCATGTTGCGGTGCTCACAGCTGTCCAATAGTTTGTTTGATAGCAGTAAAGCAGTAGACACGCATCTCCCGAGGCCTGAGCTGTGCTGCGTCGTCGCCTTTCAGAGCTGCGTTCTGAACTCCGTCGTCGTGGATGTGTTTATGAACTTGGTAACGGTTGCCTCCACAACGCCCGACAAAAATGGGCGACTCGGTAAAGACTCCCCGAAGTTATAATGATCTTCCTTGCCGGGTTGATTGTCTTGGAGATTGCTTGACCTGCTCCCGAATTTGCATTATTTTGTTCTTTCTTTTCCTTTCCCTTCCTCCCTCTTGCCACCCCCTACCCCTTGCCCTCCCCTGAGATTTCTTTGTGCATGGTAACGAGTTCATAAAAACCGGGGAAAGAGTTTTTCCTTTCTCCGTGTATGGCTGCATGTGATTATCCTGCCCCTGGACTCGGGGGGGATCATTTTTTGTTTACGGATGAACGTAGAGTTGTTTACGTTCAAGAAACGTGTATTTTTTCCTCGTGATGGATAATAACAGACGCAACAGAAATGATGACAAATAGGTGGTACGCTTTCTTTTTCTATTTTTTCCCTTTCATTTTCTTCTTCTATTTTTCTTTTTTCTTTTTTTTTCCTTTTAGAAGATTCCTGGGCCGCGCGAACCCGTCACAGCTTGTACTAACAACAGGTTCGACGTTTCCCTCCAAGGAATCGTTTTTCTTTAGGAGTTTGTAATGGTTTTTGTGACGTAGCTTTTCTGCCGCCGCGGTGTGTCTACGGAGTGTCTCTCCTCGAGTGGTTCGGGACGCTATTATCATTACTTATTTGAAAGGTCTTCGGATACCTTGCCAAACAGCAAAGATTCTCTTGTATTTTTAGTCTCCTCTCCCTCTCATCCTCTCGCTCCCTCTCCCTCTCTCCAGCTCTTCTCTCCATCGTCTCTCTCTCTCTTTCTCTCTCTCTCTCTCTCTCTCTCTCTCTCTCTCTCTCTCTCTCGCCAGCCCTTGTTCTCTCTATTGTCTCATTTCTCTCTCTTCATCGTCCCTTGCTCTCTCCATTCCCCCCTCTATCTCTGTTTTCCCCTCTCTATATCCCCGCTATCTCCCTATTCCCCTTTCTTTCTTTCTATATCCCCTATTCTTTCTCCCCCTCTCTTTCCGTATTCCGTCTCTCTCGATCCCCTCTCCCACTTTCTCCATTCCCCATCATCGCCGTCTTTCTCCATCTCTTTTCCTCTCCGCTTTTCTGCTCTTGTTATATTTATCAAATCTGATATACCCATCCATTTATCTGTCCGTCTCTCTATCCCCTCGTACGTCCTCTATCCCTCAAAACAAACGCCTCCTCGAGTTTCTTCTCATCATCACCATCTGGGGAGTGCAATTCAGCAGCATCAGCGAGATCCTAATGTTTTTTTTTTTTTGTCTCTCTCTCTCTCTCTCTCTCTCTCTCTCTCTCTCTCTCTTTTTTTTTTTTTTTTTTTTTTTTTTTTTTTTTTTTTTTTTTTTTTTTTTGAAGAAGAAGAAGAAGAAGAAGAAGAAGAAGAGAGTAAATGTCCCACGAACTACGCGAAGAAAATCAATCGCAGCTGATTTCTGATGACTTCTCGAAGGCTGCGAATTTCTTGGAGATAAACAACTGAACGTTTTGAAGGGCGGGGTGGGGGGGGTGAGGGGTGGGGGAGGGAGAAAATGCAGTGCTAAAAGCGAAGGGGATCTGGACATAGAAGGGTCGGTTTCTGTGGCTGTTTTCTCGCCTTTAAAGTTGTATGTCCTTTGAAATGGAGTCTTAAGATGGAGACGTTATTTTTTCGTGCGGAGTGAATTCGGTTGAATTATACACGTCAGCTGTGGTGCGAGGTATGAAAAAGGGAAGATTAGAATGGCTTATCCACCCCCCCCCCTCTCGCTTGCCTCCCCCCCCCCCATATCTCCCTCTCTCTCTCTCTCTCTCTCTCTCTCTCTCTCTCTCTCTCTCTCTCTCTCTCTCTCTCTCTCTCTCTCTCTCTCTCTCTCTTCTCCCTTCCTCCCTCCAATCCTCCTCCTCTTCCTCCTCCTTCCATCGTACCACCCTCCCTCTCCTCTCTTTCCTACTCTCTCCGTCGCTTTCTCTCCCACTCCCCTTCCCTCCCGCCGAACGTTCTGCAGTTGAAACCCGGAAGTTTGAACTCTATTTAGCCGAATCTGTGTAGTTTTGATACTCCGCGGACCGCCCAACACACCGCCACTGTAAAGAAGTTGGATCCACATTTTACAGTACGAGGGGCCGGCGTTGCATGTCGTCGAAAGGCCGCCTCCTCTTCTTTTTCCTGTTTCACTCCATTTTCCTCCTCCTGTGCTCTTATTCCCGCTGCTCTTGCTCCTCATTTCATGCCTTTTCTCTCCTTTCCTCTGCTTTCCTCGCTTTTCACCTCCTCCTCCTTGTTGTTGTTGTTGTTCTTCTTCTTCTTTTTCTTCACCTTCTCCTCTTCCTCCTCCTCCTTCTCCTCTTCCTCCTCCACCTTCTTCTCTTCCTTCTCCATCTCCTCCTCCTCCACCTCTTCCTCCTCCTCCTCCACCACCACCTCCTCCTCTTCCTCCTCCTCCTCCTCCTCCTCCTCCTCCTCCTCCTCCTCCTCCTCCTCCTCCCCCCCCCTCCCTCCCCCTTCAAACCCTGTCTCACGCTCAATTATTTCATCCTCATTATCTTCTCTCCATTAGTGAATTAGATCGACGGCAAAGGTACACTGGGCGATTTGGTGGTCGGGCAGAAGGGAAAGGAGAGTCATAGGGTGTACTATAGGGCTGCTATTGTCTTGCTCTCGCGTTCTCTCCTCTCTTCTCTCATTCTTTCTCTCACTTTTATTCTCACTCTTTCTCTCACGTTCACTTTCCCTCTGTGTCTCACTTTCTTTCTCTTTCTCTCTCTCTCTCTCTTTCTCTCTCTCTCTCTCTCGCTCTCGCTCTCGCTCTCTCTCTCTCTCTCTCTCTCTCTCTCTTTCTCTTCTTCTTCTTCTTCTTCTTCTTCCTCCCTTACTCCCTTCCTCTCCCTATTTTCTTTTCGCTCCCCCCGACCATGTCCCTTCCCTCAGGTATGTGCTAAAGAAAAGATTATAAATTGGACATGGCACCATCTGGCACTATGCGTGCATTGTTGGACTATTTGACGGAGATAAACCCTTTAGAATCTGCAGCGGTCTATCTCCGTGGATGCAGGTTACGTAAAGGACGCAGATATAACATGCAGTATGTGGCTTTTGGAGACAAACGGGCAGGTTTAAATCATTGATGTCCTTATCAACTCTAATGGACGATTATTGTGCATTGTTTGTCCTGACTCTTACAGGCCACATTTGCTTTATTATAAAGAGGGGAATCGATTTTATGGGTTTATTTTGACTTTTAAGATTGGCGGGTGGCTCCTTCAGCTCGACACAAGATTACAAATATTTTAGATTTAATTCAGTATAGATTCATCCTTCCTCCTCCTCTCCTTCTACCCTAAAAAAAGACACGGAGAATCGAGTAAGCATCTAAACAAACAAAAAGGAAAAGGGTAGTTATTTTGTTAACTACTCTTTGTTTGTTTACAGAAGTTAAGGGCAGACTAGGGCAGAGTGACGAGAATATTTCAATAGTAATTTTACGAAGGAAGGGCCCGGCGGCATCTTGGCATGTAGAGGAGAGTGTATGCGACGGGCATCTTTACAGAGCAAGAACATTTCAATGCGTTACGGCTGGAGAACCTTCTGTAGAGAGAGCTGGCTCCGGACACTCGGCGTTCGAGAAAGTTCGGGAGAGACTGACTGATCCGTTGCGAATACAAGCAAGGCCATATTTCAGGGAGGAGACAGTTCAGTACACTTACTGACGATGCTGTTGTTTAACGTGTTTGTTTTTCTTGTTTGGCAATCAAAGGACACGGAAGAGAATTTGTTTGCAGATCCGTATCCAGAAAAAATCCTTCGGTCGCGAGTCAGTCTAGTACCTGGCAGCGGGGGGCAGAGGGAGGGGGGCATTATGCCCTGGGAACGGAAGGGGGGTCATTGTGGGTGCTGGTGGCACTGACTAGTTGGCTCAAGATGCCCGGTGAACAGGTGCCAACTGGCCCCGTGCCCGGGCCTTCCTCATGTGACCCCCGCCTACTTGGCCTGGCACCTAAGCTACACATCGTAGCGGTTATCGTATTTGAATGAACGTTTTTTCCTTGTTGCAGCAAAGAAATGTATCCACATTAGATTAATCAGGCGGCCTGCATGGTTCGAAGTCATCGGTAGGCAGCATGGACACCGTGTTCGTATTTTCAACGCTAGTTTCAGGATTGACAGCGTAGGGCGGTGAGTGTGCTGGGAGGAGGGGGGGTGGGGCGTGGAATGCGTAATAAAGTATCACGGTGATCATATAGCATACCTCCCTCTTCCCTCCCCCCCTCCTCCCCCCGCTTTACCACCTTTGTTAAATCAGTCGCCGTCGTCGCCGCCGCTCCTCCGCCGTTGGAATTCCGTTTCGTAAATCCGCCGCAGCTGTTTTTTTCTTTTTGTTTTTGTTTATTTGTCGGAGTGAAGCGGCGGAGGAGGAGCGAAAGGGGAAGAGATTTCGATCAAACGAGTAAAATATTTCGGATGTAGAAGAGTATCCGTTCCCGTGCCGTCATGTCTCGTCTCTGCGTCTGTATCACGAGTCTCATATCTTATATCTCGTATCCATTTTGTCGCTGAAAACTTGCTCTAGAAAGGAGAAAAGCGAAGGAACATACAAGGTAATACGGTGCATGATAGTCTAGTTAGTGGTGTAAGCTTTATAGACTACAAGTAAGTAAGCGGTTTGTCAAAGATGTTTATGCGCTGCTCTGTGGGGGACACCACTAAATTAATGTGAATGAAGAAAAAAGAAGGAAAATAGAAGAAGATAAAGGAGAGAGAGAGAGAGAGAGAGAGAGAGAGAGAGAGAGAGAGAGAGAGAGAGAGAGAGAGAGAGAGAGAGAGAGAGAGAGAGAGAGAGAGAAAAGAGCAAGTGGTTGGTGGTCCGTGTCCGCTCATTTCCCGCCATGGCCTCACACGACTGCTACCGAGTAATTACCAAGTCGTTTCTCTATCTCTCTCTCTCTCTCTCTCTCTCTCTCTCTCTCTTCTCTCTCTCTCTCTCATCTCTCTCTCTCTCTCTCTCTCTCGCTCTCTCTCTCTCTCTCATTCTCCTTATCCTCTCTTATTATCTTATTCTCTTAT